CTTAACTTGGATAAAGGTGTATATTTATCTGGTGAATTATTTTTTTTTACGTGTAGGCTAAATTTTTTTACTATATTTCATCTTATTTTGAGAAAAAGAAGATAGTAAACCCGGGGAAAAAAATACATCTTGAGAACTTGAGAGATACTGTGAAACAGATAGAGAAATATCGATGTATTTGAAAGATGTATTTTTTCTTCTAGTAGATATACTTTTATGGGCAAGTCTTGTGAAGTCCTTCTATCTGAAACAAATAAATAGATTTAGATGAAAAGACTGGATTGAAACTCAATTAAAATTTTAACCGAGTTATTGTTTCAATTGCAATTTTAGGGTTTGGGCAAGGATTTTTAATATTTGGGTTGAGTTTGAGTTAAAAAATCTCAACCCGAATTCAATTTGGGTTGGGTTCGGGTTAAGGCCTCGTGAACCCGAGTTCAACCCGAACCCGACAAATTAAAAAAAAATTATATATATATATATATATATATACACACACACATAAAGCATTAACACTGATTTTTCATTTTTGTTCTATCGTTCTCTATCTCTCTCGTTCTCTCAGCCTCTTTCGTTAAAAACTTGGTTGAAGTTATTGGTTGTTAATTTAGGTGAATATAATGTAATATATGTATTAGGTTTAGAACAACAAGTTTATTTTGGACTCTACCCAAATTGAACCCGTAAAGTAACTCGAAATCATCAACCCAAGCCCCCCCAAATTAAACTCGGTCAGTGTTCGAGTTGAATTTTTCAACCCGAGGTAGGGTTAGGGTTAAGGTTAAGATTGAAGATTATATACCTAAGGTTAAACTATGATTAATTGCTCAACCTACCCAATCCTACCCGAGTTGCACCACTAATAACGATAATGATGAAACGGGGTTTAACAAAGGCATAAGTTGTTTGTTTTCAATTCACCCCCCCCCCCCCTAAAAGTAGGCCTTTGTTCATTTCAATTTTTAAAATGATATAACTATCCATTTTTTGAATTCGTAATAAAATATATTTTATTTCACTAATGTTATAGGAATATAATTGAGGGACATAATGAATTATGATTGATAACTGATAGTAAAATGCAATTAATGATGAGACCTATTACATTATTAAATGCATTTTACTATTATTTCATTTGTCACAATGTATTGTCTCTAAATTATGTCCCAATAACATTGCTCATTTTATTTTACACTTATTTTTTTTCGTCTAAATGACTTTATTTCTTTTTGAGGTGTTGATTTGAAGAAAAAATTACAGTTTTATGATCTAAAAATGTCAAAATTACATTTTTAATCTAACAATGATCACTGATTAAGTCCCTTGATTTAAGTTTTCAAATCTACAATATAAAATAGAGTATGTTTTAATTAGTTCATCTGACGGTCTTAAATAGACTCATCAAACGGCCACTAATATCTCTTTTAAAATCATTCGTATTGAATTCCTCCTTGTTATAAATTCATAACTTCTCACTTACGTTGCACCGTGTCTGAAGGTACAAGTTAATCTAGTTAAATATGAAGACCAGCATGTATAGTACACACACATTCGTATCCCCAACTACTTCTCACAACATGCAATGAACAACGCCAGCAGGCCACACACACGAGACTAAGCTGATAAGAAGGAATCAAAATACATAATATAATAACATAATTATTTAACAAATCAATATTTTGGAATCTGCCTCTCTGTAATCTCCTAGGACAGTACAAGCCTAGTGTTGTAAACCAGATCTCATAGCAGATTGTCTGTTCAGCTCCTCTTCCATTTGTCCTCTAATTAAACTTTCATCTCCAGTACTCTCACTCCCCACAATGCTTTTCATCATTAAAATTTCATACTATAAAGTCAGACCCCATTGGTTTATGGGTTTGATCTTAAAAAATGTCAAATCCAAGTTAAAGGCTATTAGAGATTGTTCCATGTTTGTAGTGACATTTTATAAATTAGATACGAGTCAATTCATTCCTAATTGATTGTGTATGACACTTTAACATGCTATATCTTGAAGTTGATTTCAAAACGTTTTGAGTAAGTCTCTTCAGTTTTGTTGATTTAATCTGTGGTTTTCCCTCTTAAGTACGTCTTCTTGTGTTTATTATTTTTGGCTCTTCTATCTACTATTTTTCACATGCAAATGAGTGTTGCACGTACCATCGGTATATAATTTTTTTAAAATCGTTTGAGTCTTTGAATCGAGGGAGTATATCAATGGTAAGAACTCACTCCTGCCCGCAAGTAGTTGTAGATTTCAACCTCATCCTTTTTTCCCTACGCCTCCCCCACCCACCCACCCCCAAAACCAAAAAAAAAAAAAAAGAAGTCTTACAATAGTTCATACCATTAACCATTTAGCGTAAAGATTTGAATGCAACTAAGATGGTTTATATTAATAATAGTGATTGGACCACTCAAAGTTGTAAACAAGCATAAAGAAGGAGAATAGAATACACACTTAGGCATTACACCATTTCTTTTTTGCCTCACTTGCACATTACCAGCAGAACAGGAGACATCCCACCCCTCCACCCATAACAGTTGACCTTTTACAAAATGCATATGTTCATTCAATGTATGTAGTGATATCATAATGTTGTGGTAGTTTAAATATTGGCCAACTTACCCAGAAAGTCTTAGTCCTAAGAATTTAATATCTAACATGTGGCCCCCCAGCCCCAAAAAAAAAAAAATGCTGATAAAATGAGTTTTAAATGGCTATATGGCCGGTCGGTGCCTCCAAATCAAATACTGCAATACATTTTTGCTTTGTTCTTGATGAAGACTCTCTACTCCTAAAGAGGGACGGTAAAATAGTGATATTCAAACATTAAACTAGTGGTGGAACTTACTTAGATGATATGACTTTTGAGTTGCAAAGTTTGAATCTCACAAAAGACAAAAGAAGTCTGATTGACCTAATGTCGAAAACTCAAAATTACCAAGTTTGAGCATGATAATAGACGTTCTGGTTGAATCACTGTCAAATATCCCGGGATACCAAGTTCAAATCTCAAAAAAAATATATTCTGGGTGACTCGGTGGGCAAAGTTTATTGCTAATTGTGTATACTTGAGTTCACATAGAAGCCACACAAATAAAAAGCATTGTATGATTGGGACAATTCTCAGAAAATTCAGAAAGAGGCTACCAGTTAGAGCTTTACTGGGCGGCTAATAGAATATAGCATTTACTATCAAAAGACTAACAGTGAGTTTCATCATGGCCTGCCCTTCAAATTCAATACTTTATGTTACTAAAAGATTATATATATCTGCATCAATGGCTACTCTTAAGAATGCACGAATAGCGGCTTTCTCTTCTTCATAAATATTATCATTCAAAGTTTTTGATGTAAGCCATGTTATACCAGCTTCATAAAACTAACATGACCACCAAATAAAATCTTTTTTGACCGAGAATCATCGTAAACAATTAGATGTTGTGTTTCTTAAATTATATGAATCAGGTCAATCAGAACGTTGATGGGAAGCGATGATAACCCCCGCGTGCACTCCCTAGACAAGTCATTGATTCATGTTGAAGGTGTTATTCTCCTTTTTTGGTGACTCGTATAATCATAATAGAAAAATACTTATAGTACACTCTTTTGTATACCAAGCCTCCTCCTTTACTCATTTGAATACAATGATGAGAGTAATAAATAAATACTTATGTTACACAACTCTAGACACACACTACAGCCCAAAAAAATGAAAGCCGAATTAACACCATTGGACATTGTTGGTGATACCGGATGACCTATATTCACTAGACCAGGGATAGGGCGCCTAATGGAATGGAGGGTAATGCCTATTATATTATAGGGTTAATAGTTCTTAAAGTTTGTATTTTTTTTTTCAGGTCCTCAATATATCAATTTGATCTTTAAAATATTCAATTCGTGACATTTTGATCCCACATAGACAAACCGTTAAGTTTTTTTAACGAAAGTGGTCACGTATTAATTTTTTTAGACGGTTATGACGTGCATAACACGTGATCATTCTATTAAAATTAACGGTTCGTCAATATTGAAGCCAAATGATACAATTACATATTTTAAGAATAAAATTAATGCATTGAGAACTAAACTGATAAAATTATACCTTTAGTATAATAAAAAAATAGCCGCTCTCATCGATACAAGTAAGAACTCTGTCGAATCATATGTAAATATGTGTTCTTTGTTTGATTGCTTTTCTCTCTCTTCAATTATTTCCTACATCCCACGTTCACAAGAGTCGTCATGCTTGTGCATGCAACAGCGAAGGGAAAAAAATAATCGCTAGAGAATCAAGGGGACGTGGTGTCTACTGCAGTCTGTGCAATGGAGATATCAATGGGACCCTAATGTTTTTCTACGGTGATTAAAAAATAAAGGCAAATTATAATTTAACTCTCCCTCATCTACGACTTTTTCTCACATTCTCCCTCAACTCGTTTCTCATATGGCATTCAACCATGTTATTAGCTATACATGTTGTCCTAATTCCGTTTTAAATTTGACAAATACCTATTTTATTTTGTCCTTAGAGTTATATGTTTTGTTTCACTTTACCCCCGACATATTAATAATTTTCATTCAAAAAATAACACATGTTTGCCTCTACCGCGGGGTGAAATTAATTCAAGTAATTGGGGGGCAATATGAAAAAATCAATAATTCAAAGGACAAAGTCAAAATTGAATCCATAGTAAAAGGGTGAATTTGCAATTTTTCCTAAAAAAAAAGAGAGAGGGATAAACATAAACAATTAAAACCAAAAACACCTAATTAGAGGTAAAAAAAAGGGTTCCACAATGCATTCTCCGTCATTGCTTGTACATTTGATATTTTAGCTCAACTCTACAGCTGCTCGAAAGACATAACCTTCTTTGGTAGCTTTGGATTTCTCAACTGAGTAATACCAACAAGGAAAGGGAAAAAAACTTTCTCTGCAAACTTATAAATTGCCCATCTTTCTCTCTTGCTTTGTCCTCTGTAATGCCACTCATTACATGGGAATCGACCCACCAGCAGCCAAAACTTGTTGCTCCAGCTACATTCAAACAAGTGAAATGAGATTGGCTTTTGGATATTGAGACAGAGAATAAACCACCTAGTTTAACTTCAAACAATGAGATTTTGCACACCAGTCATCACCTTGAAAAGAGTTTCCAGTTTGTTCTTCACAAGTGAATACTCACTCTTTAATTGTTGCAGACATTTTAGGCACCTGCGTTATCTCTCTTAGTCAGAATAATTTTCAATAATAATAGTAATTTTTTGGTAGCATTGTAAAAGATGATCTGTAGTCATAGATCTTCAGTTGATTCATTTGTAGCTATTAGTTTTGAAATTAATAGACTAAATTGAAATAAAAATACTTTACACGTGTCATATTTGCATTGGTTGAAAAAAATGACGTATAACTTTTGAGTACCATAGTTCGAACTCGAGAAACTCACCCTTCAGTATTCTGTTCATCGCAATAGTGGCGGAAGGCAATGCAAACCTTTTGAACTCTTTGTGCTCCTATGCTGTTATAACACAGTCCAAAAAAGATTAAAAAAAAAAGGTTTTAAGCCCGAAAACTCCTATAGTCAAATGCTACTGGAAGATGCAAGAACAAAAACTAGATCTGTTGCACCAAGTTTTTTATTGATTACAATAGTTAAGTAAGAACAATTAGTGTTTGATATGCTTTCCCTAATCAAGATGTTGGGAAAATATATTTTCTGATTTTCATTGACATGCATTCACCATAATGTTGGCATATTAACTCTAAAACCGAAATTTTAAATGTAGTTTTCCTCCAAGATAAACATTTTAGAACTACTCAACCAAAAAAAAGAAAAGTTTAAAATTAACCAAAGTTCCATTCAATCTATACAGTAGCTGATTAATTTACTGCAATCATATTCGTGTGGGATTAAAAGAGCGATTCTATTGATGAGATATAATTTGAGGATATAATTTATATGAGTACTTAATGCATTGTGTCTATTGAACTAGCTGTGAGTCCTAACAGTGAATGAAGTTTACTACCAATCTAATGATCATTGCCGTGATAAATGTGCTTATTTTCAATTAGGGAAAACTAATAATCACTCGATTAGTCATAGAACATGATAAGATGGACATTTAACAATGGAAGTTATTTTTATATGTGAAATTGAGTTTCATGAAACAAATACATCATAAGGTAAAATAAAATGACAACTCAACGCATTAGGCTCTACCGCTACTGGATCTGAGAGAAAGGCAGTTGTGTGGAACCTTAGCTATTGATGGAGATGTTGTTTCTGCACTACAATCCTATGGGGGGGGGGGGGGGGGGGGGGAAGACATGCAATTACCTGGAGCTGCTACCCTTCAACTGGTGAACATGGGCATCCAGCCTCTTGAAGTCTGAACTTTGCTGATGTCTGTAAGCAGTGAGCGTGAGGTAAAGAATAAAACAAGAAAAAAAAAAACAAACAATTTGAGGCAATGAGATGTTTCAGAAGTGTTAAATATCTTTAATGTTCAAAATAAGTAAACCCATTCCAAAGAACTCCACAAAGAATTGTTGAATAAGTAGTTGAGGTAAATGCTTACAGAGCTTTGGTTAGTTCATTAAGAAGCCTCTGAGAATCTTCAAAGAAGAGAGACACCACTTCAACCACAAAGTCTGGGTTACTCTCATCTTGCAGTTGCTGAAGCTGGATGAACTGATCATCCAGAAATCCCTTCTCACACACAATAAACTCATCATCAAAAGCCAACCCAATAACCCAAAAAAAAGATCAAAGAAAAATAAAAAATAAGATGTTCCATGCATGAGACTTCGACCATTAAAGTCTAGATAGGGTCAAATATACGTGGTCTTAGCATAAAGTTGTTTCCACTGTTCAAAATTTTGACACTCAAGTCACAACAAAACAAGAGGCTTCAAGACTCACCCTCAAAGAAAAATCAAGCATATACGGAGAAAGACCAGCAAATACCATCAGGGTTTTCTTCTACACTGAGGTTTACTGTTTAGGAGTGTTCAGGGTACTGACCTCATTGTACAAGGAGGTTCTATACTCAACCAACTGTCTTTGCAACTGAATTACACCTTCCATTGTGGCTCTATCAATCTCAAGTACCTCACCAACCTGCAGATCTTTATGTTTTCACTTCATGGAAAGTGGAGTTTATTCAATTTTTCTTAGAAAAGCTCAAGACAAAAAGATTTATTGAACCAATGGACTTGAAGTGAATGGATGCTGGATAGAGTGTGTATAAATAGTCACTTATTTTCACCTCTGTGGGTGTGTTTCTGTTCTTTTTGCTTCCTTTCTGTCTCAACCTACCATCTATGAGCAGTTATAGCTCATTACATTTAAAAGCTGTCACAAGATCCAAAATTTGATGCCATGTACCATTCACCTTCCCATCTTGCTCTCTTCTTTTTACCATTAATTATTCTCTCTCTCTCTCTCACACACACACACACATTTTATTTGCATCTGTGGATTTCTTTTATTTCCCTCTTCAAGATGCTAACCTGTCCGTAAGGACATGTGCATGACATTACTGTCCATATTAAACCCCCTGTGGGAATGACGTAAAAGTTATAAAAAAAAAACCCTATTCAGCTTTGAGTTCCAAAAACTCTGTCAATACGAAGGTAAAATTATACGTTTTACACTTTTCGGACTCCATAGTGACGGAAGTCCTTTTTATGCTATATTTACGTTTGTATTAAATGTGACGTGATGCTATGAAAGTCGTTTTCCTTATTGACTTGTAGAAACTATGAAAATGGAAGTGTAAACTTCATTTCTTAACTTACAAGATCAAGTTGGTGCACTAAAGATAAGATTTGTTGTTGTTCAAAAAAAAAAAAAAAAAAACCTCTTACCTACTCCTCTCTTTTCCTTTTCCTTATCTTTTCACCTGTGCTCTTACTCTTCTGTAGATTCTTAGTCAATTCAATGATTTAATTTCTTGTTCTTCTTGTTGTCTGAGGTGCTGTTGTGGTGTTGCTTGATTGGTTAGTGGACTGTTTAATTGAATAGGTAGTGCTCCAATAAATGTCGGGACTCACAGTGAAATTAATGGTTATAATTGTCAAATCTAATTTTTAAGTCTATGTAGCATTACTTAAAAAAGAGTAATGTTATATAAATTTAAAACTTACTTAAAAATTAGATTGATAATCTCAACCATTAAATAAGTAGTGAGTATCAATAAATGTTGAGACACATAGTGAAATCAATGGTTCTAATTATCAAATATAATTTTTAAATCTATATAGCATTACTCTTTTAGAAAATCAAAAGGGACAATCGACAATAAACACATGTCTCTGCAGCCTTGTTTTTGGCTTTACACTCCCAACTAGGGTGTAAAGTTTAACTTCATGCTGTGATATTTTTTTATTTGTTTTTTTCACATGGGATGAAGAATTTTGTCTAATATTATACACTTTTTGCTTGTCAGGAGTGACACGTGGCACCATGTTGGGGACAATATGTATTTGTCGATGTTTTTGGATTCAACCTGAGAAATGATGTTATATGGATAGATAAAGCTGGAGTGACCCGACTGGTGGATAATTAAGTTCTTCGACAAATCATAATATGTAGTTAGGCCAATAGTTGAAAAAGAATGATATTTACAAGCACTAATATATGGCAATCCAATTTTGTTGTGATGTCATCATTGTAGAACCCTTTTCATAAAAAATTACC